CACAATGTGACTGCATTAGAAATAAGGCTTTAAGGAGAGAGATTAAGGTTAAATGGGGTCATAAGTATAGCGCTCTGATCCAGTAGAAATCGTACCCTTGTAAGAAGCCACCAGGGCTCTTTGCCATGTGAGGACACAGCAGGAAGGCAGCCATCTGCAGGCCGGAAAGAGAGCTCACGAGAACCCAACCATGCCAGCACCCTGATCTTGGACTTCCAGCCTCCAAAACTGAGAAAATAAAGTTCTGTTAGTTAACCCACTCAGTCTTTGGTATTTTATTATAGCAGCACAAGATGTATAAGACCTTTATGAAGAAAATTATAAAACTATTGAAAGATATTAAAGAAGGCCTACGTAAGTGGAGGAATATTTCATGTGTCCGTGTAAGAACACATAACATAGTAGAAATGGCAGTTATCCTCAAATGTAAGGATTCAGTACAGATTTCCAGTATTCTAGCCCTGTGCCTAACAAGCTTGAAAGTCGCCTCTCCAGTCTAACAAATGAAAAGCTGAACAAACTGAAAAATCAACTCTTCTTAGATCTGTAAGAGAAGTGAGGTCAGAAGGAAAACCACTACTACAATTAGAGAGATCCAACAGTAGAACTTATTGGAGCAGAAACCCACAAGCTGAAACCCACAGGAACCAGTGCCCAGGTAGGGAAAACTGAACTGTACTTAACAATTTGCTTGAGACTGAGTGTGGGTTAAGTCTGAGAAATAAAAATTCCAGGCATCCAGTCCTTGGGAGTCCCTCAGATATTTGTGAGTTTTACATCCCATAGTTCTGCTAGGTTCTCACAGTGAATATCAGAGAAAAATCCCCCTGTGCTTCTGGCAGGGAGGACCTGGGAGAAGGAAATATCCAACTCCAGCTGGCTTAGCCTTGTACATGGAGGAAGGGAAATACCCATCTTCGGTCCACTCTAGTCATCCTTTCCCACATAAAGGGGGAAGGAGGACTGAAAAGCACAGGTAAAGTTCATAGTCTGATTGTACAGGCTCACTGAAAGACTGAGACCTATTCATAGGACTATAGAACAGTCCCCCCTCCCCACTGCCAACACCTCACCACCACATTACTAATGGCCTGTTTACAGCAGTTCCTTTTACCCAGTACATCACATCTGGCTATCAAGGAAAAAATTACAAGACACATTCAAGGCAAAAAAAACAACAACAACAACAACAACAGTTTGAAGACATAGAGCAAACATCAGAGCAAGACTCAGATATAACAGGGTTGTTGGAATTATCAGACCAGCAATTTGAAACAACTATAATTAAGATAATGAGTGCTCTAATGGGTAAGATAGAGAGCATCCCAGAATAGATGGGCAACATATGCAGCGATGGAAATTCCAAAAAAACCCAGGAAATCCTAATGATCAAAACACTGTAACAAATGAAGAATGCCCTTGATGAGCGTATTAGTTGACTGGACACAGCTAAGGAATCTCTGAGCTTGAGGATGTCTCCGTAGAAACTTCCAAAGCCAAACATAAAGAGAATAGAGACTAGAAGGGGGAAAAAAACAACAAAAACCTAGAATACCAAAGACTGGGACAATTACAAAAGGTATAATGCACATGTAATGGGAATACCAGAAGAAGAGAGAAAGGTGTCTCAGACTTCAAGTCTGGAGTTCTCTCTTGTCCAGGAAGAGAATGGACGCAGAATTAAATGCGAGAGAGGCTAATATCCAGGAGGAGACAAGAGTAAAGGTCATTGCTCCGTTTTTATTAGGATCAGAAGGCTTACAAATGTGATGGACATGCAGAAAGAGACTGTGAAACAGTGAACATTAAATCGTATGTGAGAGAAAGGGAGTTTTGAAGATATCCAGTGTTAGGAGTTTGGGTCAAAAGAAAACAAAATCCCTGCACTGAGCAGATGACTGTTTACAGCAGGCACGAGGGGCCTCACATATTTATCTTAACTTGCCTAGGGGATAAGACATATGGAACATGCTACCTGAGGGTCAACAAGGCACCTTTCTTTTGCTAATTAGCTCCACTCTGGGCAATTTCACCCTGCTCCCAGGCGTCTATAGCCCTGTTTACCTATTTACCTATTCTAGACATCCAACCTATGGAAGTAGCTTTCTACTTTTGTACTATGCTGGGGGCACTTTGGCCCTGTTTACCTAATCTTGGATGCTTTCATCCTAAGCCTTGTTAACCCATTGGTGCAAGCTCAGGGATTTCCTAAACTTATTCCCCACAGAAAGGAAGAGAAGAAATATTTGAAACAATAATGGTTGAGAAGTTCCCTGAGTTAGTGTCCAACACCAAACTTGTCCACTGATCCAGGAAGCTGTTCCAGAAAACAAGAGCAGGATGAATGCCCAAAAAGCTACACCTACACATATCATTATCAAGCCATAGAAAATCAAAGATTAAAAAAAAAAATCCTGAAAGAAGAAGAGGAAAACAAAGACCTCACTTCTTGGAGAACAAGGATAAGAATTACGTTTGACTTCTCAGAAACCAAGTAAGCAAGAAGAGAGTGGAGTGAAATATTTGAAGTATTGAGAGAAAAAACCCAGCAACCTAGAATTCTATATCCTGGGAAATTATCCTTCAAGGATAGTGAAAGAGAGAGAAAGACTTTCTCAAATGAGCAAAAATTGAGGGAATTTGTTGCTAGTACACTTGCCTTGCAACAAATATTAAAAGAACTTCTTTAGAAGGAAAATGATACAGGTCAAAAACTCAGATCTACATAAACAGAGAGCACCAGAGGAGGAATAAGTGAATGTAAAATAAAAACTTTTATTTTTCTTGTTCTTAATTGATCTAAGAGTTTGTTCCAAATAATAATAGCAACAACGTATTCAATTATTTGTGTGTGTGTGTGTGTGCGTGTGTGTAGATATATGTGTGTGCTTATGTATGTTTATGTATAAGTGAAATGAATGATAGCAATGATACAAAGAATGAGAGGAATTAGGATTATTTTGTTTTTATAAAGTACTCTTCCTATCCCTGAAGTGGTATAGGGTGATTTGAAAGATTTGGATTAGTTGTAAATATATATTGCGAACTCAAGGGCAACCACCTGGAAAAGTTTAAAAAGAAGTGTAATTAATATCCTAAGAAAGGAGAGAAAATGGAATCATCTAAAATGCTCAGTTAAAACCATAAAAGACAAAAAAAAAAAAAAGACAAAACTAGGAACAATGAACAAGTGCAACAATTAGAAAACAGTAACAAATATTGTAGCTACTTATTCAACTATATTAAAAATTATTTTAAATGTCAATGGTTTAAATGCACTAATTGAAAGAGAGATTGCCAGAGTGGATCAAAAAATAAGACCCAACAGGGGCGCCTGGGTGGCTCAGTCAGTTGAGCGTCCAACTTCTGCTCAGGTCATGATTTCATGGTCCGTGAGTTCGAGCCCCGCGTCAGGCTCTGTGCTGACAGCTTGAAGCCTGGAGCCTGCTTTGGATTCTGTGTTTCCCTCTCTCTCTGCCCCTCCCCGACTCATGCTCTGTCTCTTTCTCTCTCTCTCAAAAATAAATAAACATTAAAAAATTTAGGGGCACCTGGGTGGCTCAGTCGGTTGGGCGGCCGACTTCGGCTCAGGTCATGATCTCGCGGTCCGTGAGTTCGAGCCCCACGTCGGGCTCTGTGCTGCCAGCTCGGAGCCTGGAGCCTGTTTCAGATTCTGTGTCTCCCTCTCTCTCTGACCCTCCCCCATTCATGCTCTGTCTCTCCCTGTTTCAAAAATAAATAAACATTAAAAAAAAAAACAATTAAAAAAAAAGTAAGATCCAACTACAGGCCTACCTTGTTTTATTGCTTCTTGCTTTGTTGTGCATTGTTCCAACAGCGTTTGCTGACTCCATGTTTCTGTGCACATCTTGGTAATCCTTGCAGTATTTCAAACATTTTCTTTTTCTTTTTTTAAATTTATTTATTTATTTGTTTATTTTAATTTGAGAGACTGAG